GTAGGTAGATTATCTCCTAGTTACTCGCTTGCTCACAACAAAAACATTTTTATACACCCACACTCTCATCTTTAAACTATTTTCGAAACAAACACTTTGTAGGCGTTCTTATAGAAACGAGAACCATTACGAAGTTCCATTTTCAAAATACTTTCAAAAAACACATCTCACAAACACACTTTTGAACTATTTTTGAAACAAACACTTTGTAGGCGTTCTTATAAAAACGAGAACCATTACGAAGTTCCATTTTCAAAATACTTTCAAAAACACATCTCACAAACACACTTTTGAACTATTTTCAAAACAAACACTTTGTAGGCGTTCTTATAGAAACGAGAATCATTATGAAGTTCCATTTTCAAAATACTTTCAAAAATCACCACCACAAGCACACATTCAAACAAAAGCAAGTGATCTAGCAAGTAAATAAGAGCCCATGGAAAACCATGGATGAAAAGGGTGCTAATACCTTCCCTTTTCATAATCTACCCCCCCCCCCCCCCCGAACTCAAAAAACATCTCTAAAGGTCTTTCTTGTGCTTTTTCACCTTTCCTTTTTGGATAAAAGAAAAGTCGGTGGCGACTCTTGCTAAACCGCAACATTTGCAAACACAAAACGCAAAAACCTTAAGTCAGTTCTCCCACTGTATCACAGGTATGTATTTCAAAATTCAAATATTGGGGCAAACCATTGCGAGGCTCGATCAAAAGGAGTTGATTTAAAATGGTTTATCAAATCCAAACATTTTCAAGAGTCTTTTAATTAGGGGCATAATGAAAATTAGTTGGGTCGTTCATATTATGATCAAACTATTTCCAAGCTCATATCAATGAGAATCTCCTCCAAAACCCTACTAACAAATTAGGGAAAGATAAGCGACATAAGGCAAGCTCCCTGCGTACTTTCACAATCACCAATGGATCCCCCTCCTACAACAGCAATCTTCGAATTCAAATTGAGCATCGGGAAATCATGCAAGCACAACACTCTACCATCATGTGACAAGCAACCTTGTTACATAAGTAAACCTCTACGCTTTAATAATCCATGACCCGTCACATGGGCACCATTCCAAAGAGCATTCAAGTTATAATCATAAAGCATAAGGATGCATAAATCATGCATTAGGGTTCCTCGATCCAAAACCAATCTATACTTATCACCTCATCCATATGAAGAAGTCGGACAACATGGGCCGAGCATATCTTAAAAAATACCAATTACACATTCACATTTCAAAATCCAACATCCATTCGCACATATCCAAGTCATCCATTACATACATCAATCAATCATCACATTTCATGCATCAATCAAATTTGCACGCATATCATAAAACCTCATTTTTATGTTAAAATAATCATCATTGTTGATCAAGTTATCAATTCTACATTGAATCTCGATAGTAGATTCCCTTGGTTGATCATGACAGTTGATTATCCAGAAGACCTCGGCAGAAGGTATTTCTCAATCGAATGTCGACGGAAGATTCCCCTGGCTAATCACAGTAGTAGATTATTCAGAAGACTTCCGCATAAGGTAATTTACAACGAATATCAGCAGTAGGTTCTCCTGGTTGATCATGACATTTGATTATCCGTAAGACCTCGGCAGAAGGTAGCTCGCAATCGAATCTCGATAGTAGATTTCCCACTAAGAGCCTCACATCAAGCATGATGTACACATAACCATATCAAAATCTCAAGGTCATCCATAACATTTGGTGCATCTAACATACAGAAATACCAAAGAGCATTTGATAAAAGCATCAAAAAAACCTTTTTGGTTAGAAGAGCATCGAAAGAAAATATGCGCCCACGCCTACATCTACGACTATGTCAACATCCACACCTATTTCTACGCCCACGCCTATGTCTACGACTATGTCAACATCCACGCCAAAATCCACATCTACATCCATACCTACGCCTGCACCTACGATACAGACCTCAAGATCTTGGTGACATCTTTCACCAAATTCAAATCAACTTGGAGGTACAACATTAGCAACGAACAACATTGGGGAGTTGGTAATTATGAGAACCCGTTGATTTAACAAAAGAGAATTATCAAAAAGATTTGCAAAATACTTGGGGCATACACATACATTTGGGGCATATACAAGCATTTGGGGCATATACAAGCATTTAGGGCATACACAAACGTTTGGGGCATATACATACATAAGCATTTTGACGCATGAGCATTTAAAAACATTTGGGGCATACATCACACTTGGATAGCACACCAATTTAGGGCATTATTCATGCATGGCATCTTGCAAACTACTTTGGTTAAAATTACGAATTTTCTTGGGGTTCATCGTTAGCAATTCTATCAGTGCGAACTATATAGCTAAAACTTTAAAGCAATTTGGTGTTTATTTTCCTCATGTTGATAGTTGTGGTTGAGAACGACACAACCGGCTTCATCGTGAATTTGGTGCTTATTTTTCTCATGTTGATAGTTGTGGTTGAGGATGACACAACCTACTTCATCATGAATTTGCTGTTCTTCACGTTAATAGTTGTGGTTGAGGGCGACACAACTGACTTCATCGTGAATTTAGTGCTTATTTTTCCTCATGTTGATAGTTGTGGTTGAGGACGACACAACCGACTTCATCGTGAATTTGGGATATATTTGCTTCATGTTGATAATTGTGGTTGAGGATGAAACAACCAACTTCATCATGAATATGGCGTTCTTCATGTTGATAGTTGTGGTTGAGAATGACACAACCGACTTCATCGTGAATTTGGGGTATATTTGCTTCATGTTGATAGTTATGGTCGAGGACGACACAATCGACTTCATCATGAAGTTGGTATTCTTCACGTTGATAGTTATGGTTGAGGACGACGTAACTGACTTCATCATAAATTTGGGGTATATTTGCTTCATGTTGATAGTTGTGGTTGATGACGACACAACCGACTTCGTCATGAATTTGGTTTTCTTCACGTTGATAGTTGTGGTTGAGGATGACACAACCGACTTCATCGTGAATTTGGGGTATATTTGCTTCATGTTGATAGTTTTGGTTGAGGACGACACAACCGACTTCATCATGAATTTGGTGTTCTTCACGTTTATAGTTGTGGTTGAGGGCGACACAACCAACTTCATCATGAATTTGGTGCTTATTTTCCTTCATTTTGATAATTGTGGTTAAGGGCAACACAACTGACATCATCATAAATTTGGTGTTCTTCGTGTTGATAGTTGTGGTTAAGGACTGACACAACCAAACATCATCAGTGAATTTGGGTTTCATCACTTCAAATCTAGCTTATTTCATTTAGTTGTCGAATCTTGGTTGAGGGATGACACAACCAACTTCGTCCTTCTAAGTTCAAAATATCTGGTTTCAAGCTTGTATTATCTATCCATTAGGCTATGATAGGTATACAAAAATTATTTGGCTCATGGCATTAGTCTCTAAGCAGCAATGTGTTATCGAGCTTTATGTTATTCATCCTATAGATTGCGATGAATATACAAAATCTACGTCACAAACTTACTATATTAGTCTCCAAGCATTAGTAATTCAACCTTTCCAAGACTTGTGTTTTTGTAAATATGCAAAAGAATCTACAATCTCTTTCCAAAGTATTGGTGAGTTATATGCATCATCATATCTCGATCAAACTTACCCTTCATTCATATCTCTTTATTTAAACTCTGGTAGGATGATACATTATCACCCTTGCCTATTTCTTTGAGCTATGGGGTATGCTATATCAGTGTATCCTTGTTTAATAAATCTTTGTCAAATTTTGGAGTCTTCCATTATTTAATAACCCTCTTATTCGAATGTGCGAGACATGCACATTCTCACACCATTCAATCAAAGAATGATTAAACAGGGGCAGCTGTCATATCTCGAATTTACCCGCCCTTTTATTTCTACAGTCAAAAATATTTTAAATATTGTTTTTATGATATTATTTGATTTTTATAGATGTTCATTCTCAAGTCTAGTCAAAAATATTTTAAACTTTGTTTTTATAATACTATTTGATTTTTATAGATGTTCATTCTCAAGTCCAGTCTAAAATATTTTAAACTTTGTTTTTATAATATTATTTGATTTTTATAAATATTCGCTTCCAAACCTATTTAAAAATATAACGATTCATTTCAAATTATTTGTATTTTTAAAAATAGCAAATATTTGTACACCTTTCATATTCTTTCAAATTGAGTTTATTTACAAATGAGTAACATAACACAATTCGTAAAGATTAAAGCTTGCAAGTATAAGGTTATGGGTTCGAATCTCTTGTGGAGCACTTGTGATGTTCTTTTTATTTCTTTTTGTTACTAATTTTCTTTCCTTTTTAGAAATTGGGCTTGGGCTTTTCATTCACTTTGGATAACTTACTTGTTAAGTTTGCCTAACCTAATTCCAACTCTATAAATAAGACTCCTCATTGTCTAAATTTTTCATCCAGAATTTCTCACAATAACTTTTAACACACACTTTCTTTTCAAAATTTCTTCTCAATATTACTGGTGTTTGTTTTACTATTTTTTGGCCGATGATTTCATATGAGGTGTCCTGATTATTTTTTTAATTGTTGTTGTTGTTTTATTTAACCATATAATGATATTTTCTCATGGTTTCCTTTCTTCATAAAAAAATAATATATATATGCAGTATTTTGTTTTATCAACAATTTCACAAACCTTTTTTTTATCATCATTTCTTATCAACATGTTATTTAACCTACAATATTCACATTTTATATAGGTTCCATACATATATTACAACAAAAATTTCTAGCCCATTTTTCTAACACACCTAAGAAACCTTCATCCACCTTTTTTATATATAAGACCTTGTACATATTATACACATTTTGTGTATACATTATATACCATTGTTTCACGTAGAAACATTCCCTAAAGAGATTCACTCATAACTACCATACTCGTATCTCACCAAGAAAAGCCATATACAAGAAATCTCTCATTCTCGCATGTGTTGACCATGACATACAAACCGTATCCAATTTTCAACCTGCATATCAAAACCAAAAATCTATATTCAAACCATTATGAATTACAATCAGTAACTTTTGTTTATCACTTTTTTTTGTAGCCACAACATTTGTTCATTATTTTTTTGCAGCAACTCAAAACTCAAGTGTAGAAGTAAATCTAAAACACAAACAGTAAGAAAACAACAGAACAACGAAAGGGATTTGGATTTGAAGCTAGCCGCTCCATCACCAAAAGCACATATCTCTCGACTCATCATCGCATACACCTCCAGATCCATAGTCGGGATGCCACCGCCAATCGCATTCGCGATCGCAACCGCTACACTCGCTCAGCCTCCCTCATCGTTGACTCATCCCTCCGACTCAGTAACTTCCTCCGTCGTTTTGTTGGATTTGTGTTGATTTTTGTTTGTCATGATTTTGCAAGTGAGAGAGTAGAAATTGTTATTATTGAAATCAATTTTGTGAGATTCATTGTTATTGTTTAGGGAAAAGAAAGATCAGTAATGAGAAAAAATGGTGTTCTGAATGTTAACCGGGTATGCTATTCATGTTTATATCTTCTTGTTTTTTTGATTTTATTTTTGATAAAAAGGACACATGTCCATTTTTATTGATCATATTTTATTGCTTTTAGATAATGGAAAAAGTCAAGCTTTAAAGCTTAAAAATAGAATGGGACGTTGATGCCTTTATCTGTTAGTTTTTATTACTATTATTCTTTTTTTATTGATGGATATTAATTAGGATTTATATGTTTTTAGATTGGGCCTTCAACCCATATATGTATTGCTAAATTCCATTCACACTCCCATAATTACTTCTCAATTATAATCCACACGCCCTGCGCTATTGGGCCCAGTTCAATATCTGAACTTGGACCCTTGCTGAATAAAACCCTCCTGTTTTACTCAGCCTAAACAAAATACACCTCATGCATTTTATTTTATTATTTTATTTATTTTTATATTAATTAATACTTTTATGTTTAATATATTTATAAATTTTAATATTATTTTATTATTATTATAAGATACAAAGAAAAAATCAATTTTTTTAGTCGATTAACAAATAATGGGATATACAGACTTGGATAATCAATTGATCGTATTAAATGTCTATCATTCATTTAATCAAAATCAAATATTAAAAACCACGCGCCAATGAGCGACATGTGGCCAATATCTGGCCACGTGATGAGGAGACTATATCAGACCCCCTCCCCCCCCCCCCTGCTCTATGACTTAAAAACATCTAACCAACAATTTAAATCATTTTCTACTAACTTAACAAAAAACCAAGATATTTTCGAAAAATGATCAAGGAGAATTTCTTTCAAATTAACTGCGAACTACTATTACGCTCAAACAAATTTCAACTCAAACAAGGTTCAAGGTTAATTCGAAAGTAATTCTGTGCAATCCATAAAAAAACACAAACCAACCGCGAACTACGAAATGGGACTCTGATTCCTCCTAAGAGGATACTTAGGCATACGATCAAAAATCGTGGCTAGTCCCCCTAATTAAAATTTAAACCCTTTCCCTTTAATTAACCTTAAAACCCCCATTTTCTTAATCATTGTGCTTCTAAACCTAGTATCCTTGTGAACAAGGTAGAGGTGCCTAATACCTTCCCCTCATCTAGAACCGAGTCCAAATATAGAATCTCTGAACTTTAGGGTTATTCCTTTATATTCCCTTCCTTTATGATAAAAATTAAAGGTGGCGAATCTGATTTAAAAACCAGTTGCCACATGATGCTAAGGGTGTAATAGTAAGTGTATAGGAGTAAGTGAGAGAATAAAGGAAAGATCGTAGAAAGGTTCTAAAGTTAACAAATAAAATAAGGAATATAGTGTCAGTCAGTGTCATTCGTGAAACTAGGGAACGAAGGAAAACTCCTAGGTCGATTGCTAGAAGTAACAAGGTAAGGGGTAATATTAGTTGATTATATATTGTATAAGGGACGAATAAACATAGGTTTTTCTATTTTATGATGATTGTTAATGAATGAAGTATGGATGATTTGTTGGTGACATGATATAACTCGATTTTTAATGTGTAATTATCGATGTGTTATTGTTGAATTTCATAATTGGTATTATACTACATATTTGATGTGTATGACATTCGGAATTGACCATGGGAGGAGTCGATACTATAGCAGATCGCAAAACTGAAATTGTATACTCATGCAAAATCATCAGGCAAACTGGTGGCGAATGGGGGGGGGGAGGCGCACGTGCTTTGTCGGGCGAGCATGCGGCATGCTGTAGGTGAAGAGACTCGCTACTGGATCGCCAGACAAGTAGGTGGAAAAAGAAAAAATCTTCAAACAGACGAGGGGCGAGTAGGTGGCGAACGTCAGGCACTAGCGACAAAAAATGTCGTAACTTGAGTTTGGTAGCTTCGATTGACGCGTCGTTCAAAATGATGGGAAGCTTATGAGTAGAATTATAAAAAAGTTTGATTTAGATAACTTTTTGATGATCATTTGCATGCTTATATGTTTGTATGTTTTATTGATCACGTGCCTATTTTGTTATGCCGTACTAATATCTGCATCTTGATGACCTGTTTTGATGAAGAAACTTGTCATTATTGTATGTTGTGATTCTTGTGTTCAGGTTGTGGGATTTCATGTGCTTTATGTTGTTGTATGCCTTGTTTCCTATGGTGATGGTTCGAGTGCAATTATTATGTTGATGATGTTGTTGTGCATGATGAGAGTCCATGCATCCATGTTATAAAACTTTATGTTCTAATTTATGTTGAGGCCTCGTTTACTATGGTAATGGTTCGAGTGCGAGTAGAAAATTCCTTTGTCCAGGGATTTGGTGAAGTGTTACCTACGGTGATGGTAGCGATTTAGTGTGCTCTAGTTCCAAGAGGGAATCGATCTTATGGTGGGTATCAAGGAGTGAAATGAACCTAAGTGTTCATGTTATGGTACCACGTGCATTATGTCGATATTGTTGTTGCATTATCATCCTATGATGCATTACATGAGTTTTGTTGATGGAATATGTTGTGGTGATACATGTGAATCATTGTGTGATTATGTATGACTTCTTGTGATTAATATGATTTCTTAAGACGATTGTGATGAATGATGGTGTGAGTTTGTATTGTGTCTGATGTTGTAGAATAGTATGATATAATCATTTTAGTTTACTTTCTCTTATACCTTTTATAATTGATTATGATTATTCACCCTATTTGTTTGAATGTTACCTGGGTAACATGCATATTCCCAGGAGTAGCATTGTTGAAGTAAGTGGAAGGACATCTCTTGAAGTGGCTTCCATTTAGTATCGTTTATTTGTAGTAGGGTCTTGCTCCGATCATGTAACATCAAGATGGGAACCATTTTGTGTTATTTGCAATTGTTTATTGTTTGTTGAACCCATGAGTTATACTATTGAGAGTAGAAAATTATAACTCTCTTATTTATTTTTATTGAAGTTGAAAGAGGTTTTATGAGACCAATGATGTGTTTGATTATATGTTTTCAAATGTATTCTGCTGCAATGTTGTTCAGATGTGTTTGAATGTCGTGTAACATCCCAGGTATGAAGATGTATGATTTAACTTATTTTCAGTAACCCGTGTTACAGAGCAGGATTGGTCTATGTTTTTATGACGCGTAACACCATTGTGTGGTGATTTTAAATTAAATCATTTAATTTATTCATGGTATCAGAGCAGGTCAATTCGTCCGACCAGGTTATCTAATGTTGTATGTTCCTTAGTACACGACATGTGTGTGAAACACTGTTGATGCTTGCTTGTTTCTCTAACCGTTGATCTATAGGAGTTGGTTTGAAATAAGTGGGGGAGAATTTTTGCTTCTATGAGATGTTGTAGGTGTGGAGTGTTGGTTCAGATGATGTCGAAGCTTTGTTTCATTTCCCGAACCCGAAGAGAATGCAAATTTAGGATTCCTGTCTATCGGTCAAGTTGGGATGTCTTTGAGGGAGAACAATCAGGTATTGTTAATGTTTTCTTCTCGGAGAATAGAGGGTAATGTGAAGGCTAGTGATATTCCAGTGGTGTGTAATTTCCTGAAGATATCTGTGACTTTCCTCTAGAGCGTGAGTCTAAGTTTGGAAATAATTGAGAGCTTACATTTGTAATTGCTAAGCAAGTAGAAGGACTCTTAGAAGATGAAGCTCAGATGTTTACAATATGTGCGTCCTTGTGTGTAGATAGTGAAACTACGAGTGTTGATGTATCAATTTTGTGTGATTTCCAAGATGTATTTACAGGTGATATTAGTGACTTGCCCCTAGAGTGAGAGGTTAATTTTTCTATTGACTTGTTTCCGATACTACTCCAATGTTTATGGCTCCTTATAGGATGTCAGTGTCAGGATTAGTTGAGTAAAAGAGAAAATTGGAAGAATTGTTGGAGAAGAAGTTTTTTCGACCAAGTGTTTCTCCTAGGTTGCTCCTGTGTTACTGGTTAAGAAGAAGGATGGAAGTATGAGGTTGTGTGTGGACTACAAATAGTTGAGTAAGGTGACTATCAAGAACAAGTATCCACTTTCAAGAATTGATGATTTGATGGATCAATTGGTAAGTTCCTGTGTGTTCGACAAGATTGATTTGAGGTCTGGTTAACATCAAATTCGTGTTGAACCAGACTATATGCTAAAGACGGAATTCAGGACAAGATATGGTCACTATGAGTACATTATGATGCCATTTGGCGTATCTAATGCACCAGGCATGTTCATGGAATATATGAATTGGATTTTCCATCTGTATCTGAATAATTTTGTCGTGGTCTTATTGATGATATTTTGATATATTCTAAGACTAACAAAGAGCATGTAGAACATCTCAAGATTATGTTATAGGTATTGAGGGAGAAGAAACTCTATGCCAAGTTTTCAAAGTGTGAATTCTGGTTGAAGGAAGTGAATTTCCTTGGCCATGTGATTTCGAGTGGTGGAATTTCTACAGATCCTTCTAAAGTTGATGATTTGTTATAATGGGAGATTCCAAAGGCTGCTACTGAGATACAAAGCTTTCTTGGTTTAGCAGGTTATTATTGCAGGTTTATCAAAGACTTCCTCTAAGTTGGAATTACCTTTGACTTAGTTGACTCGAAATGGTCAAGCTTATGTGTGGGATGTTGCATGTGAAGAAAGCTTTATTGAACTCAATAAGAAGTTGACGAGTGCTCCAGTATTTATTTTTACTAATCCAAGTGAGTCTTTTGTAGTATATTATGATGCGTCGAAGATGGGTCTTGGTGGTGTGCTGATGTAGAACAGCCAAGTTGTTGCTTATGCCTATAGGAAACTGAAAGTTCATGAAATGAATTATCCTACACATAACTTAGAGTTGGAAACTGTGGTATTTGTCTCGAAGATTTGGAGACGTTATCTTTTTG